TTTGTTCATGTTCAAAAAAAATATCAACAATGATAATATGGGTATTACAATTGATGATGATGGGAATGTGAGAAGCAAAAATAATAAAGTGATGATGATGACGAAACAATTAGAATAGAAGTGGTAAGAAGAAGCAATGGTAGTGATGATAATAATATTGAAAATTATATTTAGATATTTATTTTTGTAAATTCTAGATATAAATAAAATTTAAAAAAATGCACTGCGTAAAATGCGCATGCGCACAAAATTTTGAACCTTTATGCGATTTCCACGGATATACGGAAAGTCAGTATTGTACTGAAACCAAGTGAGCACCGTTCTGAAAAATATTTTTTTTCAAAGTTCAGTACGGTATTCACCTTATATATAACTGTGACTGCACTAAAAATTTAATTCTAATTCAGTACACATTTGTTATTTGGGGCATACTGAAACAAAACCAAACAAAGTGAACAAAAATTTTAGGTTTAAGCATGTTATTATTTATTATTCATTGATAACAATTATAAAAATAACAAAATGATAAAATATAAAATTTACATTTTTTGTTTAACTTTTTAAATATCTGAAAATCCTACAGATACCAATAATAATTAATTAAAGCCAATTGAATTTAACCAATAGTTATATTATAAACGATTGCTAATTAATTTTAACTCTTTAAATAATTTTGGTGAATGATGATCAAGTTCGGTTGATTGTTTATACCACCATTCTATTTCGGTTTTTTTTTTTGTTGATTAAATTATGAATTTCTTTAGATGTATAATACTTATCGATTTTGATTCCTTAATTCATTATTTTTTGTCCATGAGAATTCGATCCATCCCACATACTGCATTGATAATCATGTTGAAATGATCTTTCAATTCTTCTATTTAAAAAATTAATTATACAAACCAGTTGTATTGAACATGGATATGTCTTCTAAATCAATATTTTCACCATATCTATAAATACAATAAATTAGCTAAAGCTTAATATGTGTATAATAATAATGATTTTTTGTGTCCATTACCAGCAAACTGATTTCCTAATATTTTTGAATTCTGAACTTCATCATCTGATAAATCTTCTTTCAACAAATTATCAAGAACACCTTTCAATGTTTGTAAAAATTTTGAACGATCATGTACAGCTTTTGCAGGCGTAGGAACTTTTGCGCATTCAGAATGGCTGAGTTCAAGTCCTTTGGCTTTATGAACAAACCTCAAATCAATTTTTCGACAACAATCAGACATGACATAAGACATCGTTTCTCCCCTATATCAAATGTTATTGCTAATACAAATATCGATAAAAAAATTATAATAGTCTTACCAGTGAAGTTTCAGACGATCCAAGACATCACTGAATATACTTTTCATTATTGGTGCAGTCATAGTCATTGCATATTCAATTTCACTGAGTTCCTTACATTTACCTGTATTGTCTACAAATATGAATGGATTTTTCAAAAATTCATCAATCCTAAGAATAACTCAACAGTATCAGTAGATGGGGTGTGAGATGCCCTAATTAAATCAAAATTAGGTGATGTAACGTAATGCCGATAGGACCCCGGAAACTTCTAATTGACGTCCCAGTCAATTTTCATGATTTTTATATTAAGTTTACCCAAGGGTTTATATAATGAATTTACCCTGTTAATATTAGTAACATTTTTTTTAACACTATTAAATTTACCCACTTTATATCATGGACTTTTTAAAAAAATTTATTATTATTAAAAAATTATTAAACTAATTTTTAAAAATATGTTTCAATTGCTTTATAGCATTCTCATTATTAAAAAATGAATAAAAGGATGATGTGTTTTCATCAATAGAAAGAAAATTATTTTGAAATGAAAATGAAAAATTTTTACCAAAATAATATATAACTTCTTTAGGAGTAATATGTGCATATAATTTACCACATGAACTACAATCATTGTAAATAACCTATTTCCATAAACATGAACAAACAAACAAACAGAAATATATGATAATGTATCAATAGTATTGACATTATCTACTAATACTAAAGCATGTTTTCCTCCTTTCAATTCATACATTACAATAATTTTGGCAATACATAATTGGTTTTCAGTAAAAATAAGTAAATAACCATTTCTATCTAATGGATTGATTTCTGAAATATTTGCACATCCAATATTAAAACCTAAATTAACAAAGATTTTTTTGCTTAATAAAAAAATTAAATGAATTAAATAATGAAATAAATTAATAAAATAAAATATCACCTGGCATATTATCATTGGTTCTAAACATATTTTCTGCCTTGCCACCTAGTCATTCTTCTTCTAACAGTTTGTCCAGAATCATTACTTGTAATTTGTGTGATTAATTGATTTGCAGTATTAGTATTAATATTTTCATATGCATTATCTAATCTCATTATATTTGAAACTTTGTGCAAATGTTTTGAATCTGAATAGGCCTCATGAGATTTTCTTATATTCAAAATTTTGGCTACAATTGAAGAGCCATTAGTAAAAATATCTTCTTCAGGTTCTTTTTCAAGTACAAAATATGTAACAGTTGAAGGTTCATTGTTCAAAATGTATTGAATTTCCATTGAATGAACTAAATTATTTGAGTCATCTACAGCAGTGTATAAAATTCATGTGCACAACCTCCTTAAACTGTGCACAATAAGATAAATATTTTTGTGCAGACTCTCAACAAAAATTTTAAATATGGTGCACAAATTCAATGAGAAATTTTGCATCATTACATTTTTCTATGTATAATGCACAAAAAACTAAAATACTTACAATTTTTTGTGCATACATGCACAATTTTTAAACAACTTTTGCACAATTCCTCAAAAAATTTTGTACAACATGCACAAAAATTGATCGGCAAATTTTATACAGATTCATCAGGTGTAAATTTAAAACAACTTGTACTTCTAACATTTAAAGTATCCTTTTCAATAACCACTTAGCATTCATACATACATAAATCTTGTTGGAGTTGTAAATTTTCTTCTTCTGTTAATCTTGTATGAGAAAATGGATTACCTTCAAAAAATTTATTTGGAAACAAAGTTTGAGCAGCTTTGATAATACTTTTGGAACCACCAAATCCAGATGACTTTTCATTACATAATTTTTGATTTTTTCATTAGTAAGACCAATGCAAGCTTTTGCTTTTGGATGGCGATGAGCTGGTGAATTATCAATAGAAAAAAATTTACAAACACTTATTATATTTTTTGTACATTCCTTAGCTTCCCCATGACTAAAATATAAAAACATAGTGAGTATATTTTTTGTTACAAAAAATTATGAAATAAACATTCATACCAGTCCAAATTTTTCTCCCTATATGCATAGTCTAATTTAATTTGTTTTCCACAAATACACCTTACAAGCTTTGGATTAATTAATTCTAAAAAATATTTATTTTGTCATAATTGTATTTCTTGAATACTCATCCAAGGAGGTAAAGTATCTCTATTATTACCATTGTCATCATCTTCTTCATTAACTTCATCATCACTTTCAACATCATCATTACAATCACTATCATAATCATCATCATAATTATAATTATCATCCAAATAATTATAATGATCATAGTAAAAATCTTCTGTATAGTCATTATTTTCACTTTCACAATCATTATCATTATCATTATTATTATTACATTCTACTATACAACCATCATTATCATTATTGTCATTAATATACTCTATGAATTTGTGTTTTTTGTTAATAGTTTGTGCTAAATCTATATCGTTATTACATTCTACTACACAACCATCATCATCATTATCATTATACTCTATGAATTTGCATTTTTTGTTAATAGTTTGTGCTAAATTTATACTATCATTAGATAAATTTGAGTCTATTATAACTTTTTCTTTTGCTTTTTTAGTGTATAATATTGGGAAATTAAGTGTGGTTTGAATTTTATTATTCTCTATTAAAAATTTTACTAATTGATTTACCCAAAACATAATAGTGACCTTAAAAAAAATTTTATATCAATTTTACCCATTCTTCATTGGACATAAAAATTTTTTACCCTTAAAAGTCTTGGACCTTTTAATGTATCCATAGTAATTTTACCCTATCAATAACGGTGACATTTTTCACTTTTCTATATGTTTTTTACCCTTAGTTTGCCTGGGACCTCAATTAGAAGTTTCCGGGGTCCTGCTCTCTGTATGAGTAGAACAGTAATTATTTCGGGTTTAGCCATGGGGGCTTGTACAGGCACGAAACTTTGAGGTCTGCACGGGTTTTTTCTTTTGAGATGCTCGCGAAGCTTTTGAGGTGTTGCACATGTATAGCCACAGCACTCAAAAGTTCTATTTTTTTTTACCATGTTGGTCTAACCATTTCGTTTTATTTAACTTATACAAAAAAATCTTTTCTTTAAATAATTATTTCGGTATTTCAAAAATGCATGGTGATTATACTTGCCCCTATCTCCATAATTCCGGTGCCATTTGCGGAATATCTTGTATGCGTCCTGAAGGGTGCCGTTTTCATTATAAACCCAAGAAACGTTTTCCATGCTCCGAGTGCGGTAAGACTATTGTCTCAGTTTCTGACCGTTTCCCTTTACATATCCGAGCGTTTTGTGTTGTTCAATACTATCATAGAGCGCGTGACAAAGCTACTATCACGAAATTTTTAATTTATCAGGATCTTAATCTGAGCCGTTTTTAACCTAGGACAATTTTTTCAGGGAAATGCTTTAGAGCCTGTTTCTGATATGCAAAAAAGTTATTGACTAGAATTTTTCAGTTAGATTCAGGTGTATATCAGGAACTTGATCTGAGCCGTTTTTATCAAAGGACAATTTTTTTCTGGAAATGCTTTAGAGCCTGTTTCTGATATGTAAAAAAAAGATATCGGTTGAAATTTTTCGGTTAGATTTTTTATAATTGTTATGCTATTTGAGCTTTATACATCGGGCTAGCCCTTTTTTAATGGTAGTCGGTGTTGTGACCCGAAACTAGTTTAGGTTTATGTTTATGTTTAGGTTTAGGTTTAGTTTTCTGCTTAGTGTAAGTTCATTTTCCGAAACGTTTCGGAACACTGATGGTAGTATAAAATTTCGTTAGATTTTTTGGTATCAGCTGGAATTTTTTGGTTAAATTTTGGTTAGATTTTTATGATTGTTATACTATTTGGCTTTATAGACCGAGCTAGCTCATTTCATAGATATTCATTACATTCATATCTACTCTCTTTGTTAGCCTTTTTTTAATAGAAAGCTGAGTAGTATAAAATTTCGTTAGATTTTTTTGGTTAGATTTTTAGATTGCATAGCCTTTTAATCTTTGGAGGCAATAAAAACGGCTAAAAGATAGTTAGATATTTAAGAAATCTATAGCCTCTACAGGCGTTTTCTGATATGTAAATAAAAAATCGAACCAAAATGAGTCAAAAATGTCGTCTAAAACTTAAAATTCGCCACTTTCAAGTGCGGCTAAAAATTCGAAATAAAAAACTGTTAGCTCTTTGGCCTTCCAGATGGAGATAGACACACAAATGCCGTCGTGGGCAAATGCTTCATTGGAGTTTATTAAGACTTAATCTAATTTATCACGTAGTCAAGGTAGTGGCTGATGCACTTTCTTGTCTACCTCATTTTTTGATGCCAATAATTGTGAAGAGAGGCTCATAATGGCTTGATTGGCCTTTGTCCAAATTATTTCAAATTTGATAGAAATTAATTACTGACTAAATAGTTTAGTCAGTTTAGCCAAGTGCTCATTTGAAAACTTAATAAACATAGAATTTGCAAATACAAAGACACACACCTTGCCAAATTAGCAAAGGGAAAAACAAATCTTAAGAAAAAGGGCTTAATCTCAGCGGGTCGCAACACAAGGGTCACTCACTGCTTACAATACCCCGTTCTATATTTAAGTCGTCTGCAAAGGATTTATCTTCCTTAATATTTAAAATTACAATTCAAAGGCACACCCACGACCTTTCCGTCATAAGGTTTGAACCTCAACAATATGTTATAGGACTCCGAAAAGTGTATTTTTAATCGCCTAAACAATAAGGAAGGTAATAATCGTCACTTCTAGCATGGGTTCTGGCTTAGATTCGTTCAGCCATTATCCAACGGATGATAGCCTCGCACCACTATTCTTTCAAATAAGTGCAATCACCAAATATCCGAATCAACAGTTCCTCTCGTACTAAGTTGAATTACTATTGCGACAACAATTTCATCAGTAGGTTAAAACTGACCTGGTCTCACGACGGTCTGAACTCAGTTCACGTTCCCTATTAGTGGGTGAACAATCCAACGCTTACTGAATTCTACTTCAGTATGATAGGAAGAACTGACTTTAAATGATCACAAAGGCAATGTCGCTAACAACACAAACGCTTGGCTGCCACAAGCCAATTTCCCTGTCGCAACTCTTTTGGTACCCCTAGTCTCAAACATCGAGGATCTAAAGGGTCCACGGAATATACATCCACACCATTCGTTAGGGGAAGCTTGTACCTCTTTAAGCCGTCCACCTATTCTTAAAAAAAAAAATGATGTAATCCCAGCAAACTCCCCACCTGACTAATTTTAAGAGAAAGAAGCGATAAAGGTAGTGGTATTTCACTATTGTGCCGGAACACTCCCACTTATTCTACATCCTCAATGCTTCCTCCCCCAGGTCAAACTGGAGTCAAGTTCAACAGGGTCTTTTTCTCCCGCTGATTTTGCCAAGCCCATTCCCTTGGCTGTGGTTTCGCTAGATAGTAGATAGGGACAGTCGATCATTATAAATTATCCGTACCAGTTCTAATTGCTAAACACATTGTTGCTAATATGCCAGCACTTAGAGCCAAATCTTTTTCCCGAAGTTACGGAGTAAAACTGAGTTCCCTTATCTACTTTGTTCTACCAACTAGAGGCTTTCACCTTGGAGACCTGCTGCGGTTATCAGTACGACTAGGCGTGAGAATAAATCTTTCCCTTGGTTTTTCAAGGATCATTGAGAACGCACCGGACTCGACCATAAGCGTCAAGCTCTTCTAGTAATGGCACCCTATCTTCGATTAATTCGATTCCAGGGTGACATCATAACTGTTAAAAAGAAAAGATAACTCTTCCCAGGGCTCTCACTGATGTCACCAAGTTCACTTGACGTTACCGTATTAATTATCCACGTCCTAGTGCAGGAATATTAACCTGCTTCCCTTTCGATAGGCTGGCGATGAATCGCCTCTTTAAAACGGAATTACCATATCTTAGGATCGACTAACCCATGTCCAACTGCTGTTCACATGGAACCTTTCTCCACTTCAGTCTTCAAAGTTCTCATTTGAATATTTGCTACTACCACCAAGATCTGCACTAAAGGTTGTTCGACCCGAAATCACTTTCAGGGCTTCTTAACAAACCTTCACGCCTGCCTACTCGTTAGAGCTTCACTATAACCCTAACGGTGAGGTATGGGTATCACACTTGAGCGCCATCCATTTTCAGGGCTAGTTCATTCGGCAGGTGAGTTATTACACACTCCTTAGCGGGTTCCGACTTCTATGGCCACCGTCCTGCTGTCTATATGAACTAACACCTTTTTGATATCTAAAT